AAAATATCAGCCTTGAGGCCTTCCACCTGGCTGAATGTTGGAGCCAGATTCCACTTCCCTTGAGGGGGTTCTCTCAGGAATTTCCTTTTAGCCGGCACCCTCTAGAGCCGCCAGAGGGACCCAAACAGTCAGAATGGTGTGCAACTCAGAGTGGGTCGGTGACACGAGGAGTGTGAAGGTGCACGGCCAGGCTGAGGGAGCCTGATGACCCTACAACACTGGGTTCAGCTCGGGTGTACACCTCTGAGGACAGCCCAGCAGTTACAGTTACTTGTTGGACCGTCAGATCATTTTAAAAGCATCTTTGCAGAAGGGTGATTCCTGCTGCTTTTTTAGCAACTTCCTGTGAAATTCTTCAGGATGAACAATGGAATACAGGAGTGTCAGTCCATTTTAGTCACATCCTGGCGTGACAATTACTGGACACATCCTCATCCATGTTGCACCGCAGAAATGTTTAGTATTTGGAATATCAAAATTGTATGTCCCACAATGATCCCTTTGTCTAATGCAAACAGTGGAGAGGGAACACGTGGATCTTGCTGTGGAAATCTGCTTGCTTTGAAGGGTTACTGAAATGCACAAGGTCAGAGGTGCCAGCCCTGTGCATTGGCACAAGGGACAGGATGAAGAGACTTAGTGACAGAGTTCAATGGAGGGAACAACTCAAATATCAGTGCTTATTAAGTGCAGAGTCCAGTTCTTCCCCTGGGAGGTGGGTGGGGACTTGACTTTGCTAACACTGTGACTATAAGCAGTTTGTGGGTCTTAGTACTCTCATTATTATGTTTTGCATGTCAAGTAACAGGAAAAAACTGACGTCATAGAAGTGTGCAGTGAAAAATCAAATGAAAACCCATTATGAACAGTTTTAAAGACCCATGCACAGATTTTTGAATGCTTTATTCACCAGAGGAGACTTGATACGTAATATTATGTTGTAGATTAAAATGTATCCCTTGATCTCACAAAAATATTTTGGGACTGCTTTATTGAGGCATAAGAGCTACATTGATTGCACATAACAGACTGCTGGGATAAATGCTGGCTATGACACATCATGGACCATATGTCCAGTACTTAGAAACAGAATGAAACACAGGCTGAGTCGGATACCGGCCACACTGATCTGGTTTCAACAGCTCCTAGGCAGCACTGGACATGCCACTTTATAGGCTTTAAATTTAAAATCAAGGTACACAGTATTTCCTATTTTATGGAATCTTATTCTGCGGAATAGGGCACATGTGTTAGCCACATCCACCCTTGGTGGAAGGAGCAGGAGAGGCACATGTTTGCCATTCCAACCCCCAAGCCTCCAGCCCCATGTCTCTGAGCTTCATAGTTATTTCATGTTTCAGGATAATCCAGTAGTACCTTTATCTAAAAGACCTATCTACAGTGGGGTTTAACCATAACCGAAATCCAACCATGTAAATAGCAGAGAGAAATACATGTATGGCTCAACACTGGGTGCTTTGGAGGAGGCAGGCAAAGCCCCCCCAGGAAGCAGGCACACCCTGGGGACAGGTTCTGGGAACTCTCTTGAGGATGGAACCTGAATTGGGTCAAGGACTGAAGTTCAGGCTCATGAACCTGTTGTTTGGGGTGCATTGTGCCTAGCAACTTGGTGAATGGAACCCTGGTTGTCCATTCTCCTGCCTCTTCTGCAGAGCCTTCTTGAGCAAGCAGACCTGGTATGAGTTCAGAGCCCTCGGCGGGATGGGGCAGATGGATGTATCCTTGGCAGAGCCCCGGCCCACCTGGTGGCTGAGGCAGAGCAAATGCGCCTCCTTGTCCAGGTGGGGCTCATTGCTGCTGTCATGTGTGCTGGGTTTCTGTGCCTACTGGGACTGGGCTGTGAGTCACACTGGGCAGCTGCCAAGGCTGAGGGAGGATGGATTGTAAGCATTTCTGCGATAAGCCATTGAGGTTTTGTACAGATGAAAACTAGGGGTTTTAAAATGTCTCTATGCACTCTCATGCACACTGTAGGACAAAGCAAAGAGAATCCTCCAGGATGGAAGTGAGGTATCAGAGGCACTAGGACTCCCTAGAAGATGGGTTCCATGGGAAGGGGTGGCAGATGTTGTGGGACCTGCTGGCCTGCGCAGATGGAGTCAGGTTGAAAACATCTGTCCTAGAGCTACACACTGCCTGTCAGAAATCCTCCAGCAGAAGCTGCGTGGGCATCAAACGAGAAACACGAAAATTTGAGCCAATGTTGATTTTTAGGTATTTTTCCCAAAAATGACCATTCAGCAGATCCTAGAAATGCTGTTGTTGGGATCAGAGAAAAGACCAGACTCCTCCAAAGGAGGACCCTGTGAAGAAGTGGCAGTTTCCAAGGTAATGATGAAACAAAGAACAGGTAGAGGTGATGAAAGGACACACACACACACACACACAAGCACACATGTATGCATAACTACACATGCACACTTGCACACATACACAGACACACATTAGACACACATGTTGAGCCTCTTCCAGTGTGTGACAGCTCAGGGGAACGAAGGAGCAGAAAGGAAGGAAGAATATAAACCTTCTTAGCAAAAAGCAGGTGCTCACTTACTCACTCTAGGGCTATGCACTGTGGTCGAATATGGGCTTGGCCCTCACACCCCAGAAGAGTCTCCGTCAAGATGGTATTGCACAAGTTACTGCTCCTTCCGCCCCAGCTGATGTCTGCTGTGCCTGACAGGCAGATTTCCCTCTCATTGCTACACCATGACTGAGAGTTCAAGGTAATTATCAATCACAGACTTGTTTCCTTCAAAAGGCCTTTTTAGGCTATGACCAGACAGCCAGCATCACACTAAGAACAAAGGAGCACCAAGGAGGATGGACTATTCTACATACAGAAAGACCTTCAGAGGGCTGAAGCCTCGGACTGGGCTCCTTTATGCAGGGCGGAGGAGGCTTGAAGGTCCAGGATCCAGCCTGTACCCGGGCCCAGAGCCACAGAAACTCAACCTAGTTCAGTCCATAGAGTCTTCCTGAGCATTTGCAAGAGGAAATGTTCATTCTGATTCTTTGATATTGAGCCCTGGATTGTAAACTTTGAAATTTAAAAAAAGAAAAAAAAATTTTCTTTGACCAGGGATCAAATTTGGGACCTTGTGCTTTTGAGGCAGGTGACAGCACCACTGAGCTAAATCCCCGGCCCACAAATTTTTTATTACTACAATTTACTTGATTTGTGAAACATACAGTACATTGCTTTGTACTTTCTTCTCTTCTCTACCCATGCTCATGCACACTGTAGAACAAAGCAGAGAGAATGCTTCAGGATGGAAGTAAGGTACCTGAGGCACTAGGACTCCCTAAAAAGTGGGTTCCATGGGAAGGGGTGGCAGATGTTGTGGGACCTGCTGGCCTGAAAAGGTTTCTAAGAGTCTAAAAGAAAAGATGCTGGTTTTTTGTTTGTTTGTTTGTTTGTTTTTTGTACCAGGTATCGAACTCAGGACCTTGCACTTGACAGGCAGGTGTGGCACAGCTGAGCTACATCACCAGCCCAAGATGCTGACTCATTGGTGACTTTTGGGAACACTTTCAGTAGAATAGAGAGGAGATGAGTCTGTTTGAAAAAAGTGAACTATCGCACACTTGATGACCTCTCCCTGAAGGATTAAGGGCGTTTGCTTCTGGGGAAGTGTGGAAGGCTGTTCTTTTCCTCTGTACTTAGGAGAGGGGCAGAGAACCCTGATGGAGAAAGATGGAGAGGGCAGGTGCTCAAGATGGCTAAGTACTTTCAAGTGGAAGGAAATACCTATAAACAAGATCTGCTTAGTCACTAATCTGGAGTTTTTTAAAATTACTTTAAAAAAATCTTGGTAAACTATGCATCACATAAAATCTACCAATTCAACCATTTAAAAATGTTTGGTTCTATGGCACTAGTTACAGTCACATTGTTTAGCTATCAGCACCATCTGTCCCTTCATCTTGTAGAACTAAAACTCTGTCCCCAATAAACCCCCTTTGTCCTCTGCTCTTGAAAGCCCCACTTTACCTTCTGTTTCTTTCTATATAAATGCTGTAGCTACTTATAAGTGAAATCATGCAACATACTTCTTGTGGCTGTTATATTACTTAATATAGTTCTCAGGATTCATCCCCATTGTAACATTGTTAGAGTTTCCTTCCTTTTACAGAAAGAATAATATTCTATTGTACATATAGATGCCAAATTGTCCATTCATGCATTGATGGATGCTTAAGTTTCCTCTGCCTTTTGGCTATGTAAATGATACTGTTGTAAGCATGGTGATCAGATGTCTTTTCACATGTCTGCTTTCATTTCTTGTGAGCATATATCTGTAAGTGGAGTTTCTGGATCACATGGTAATTGTATATTTAATCTTTTGACAAGTTACCAACCTATTTTGTAGAATAGCGGCACCATTTTCCATTCTAATCACCAATGCACAAGGATTTCAATTTTTACACTCCCTCAGCAACACTTATTAGCTTTTGTTTGTTTCTTTGATGGTTTTGATTACAACCATACTAGTGGGTGGAGTAATGACTCCTTGTGGTTTTGGTTTGCACATCTCCAGTGATGTGAGATGTGGGATATCTTCCCATGAGCATGCTGGGGATTTGTAGATCTTCTTTGGTGAAATGTTTATTCAAGTCCTTCACCCAATTTTTAATCAGATTGTTCTTAATTTTTATATTTTTGTTGTGTTGATGAGTTGTACGAATTCTTCACAGAGTCTGAAAGATAATCTCTTCTCAGATATATGATTTGCAGGCATTCTCTCCCATTCTTTATTCTCCATTACTTTTTCATTCTGTGCACTGTGTTCTTTGGTACATTTAACTTCAATGAAGTCTACTTTATCACTCTTTCTTTTGTTGCTTAGGCTTTTGGCATCATATTCAAGAAATCATTGCCAAATTCAAGGTCATAGAGCTTTTGCCCTATATTTTCTTCTAAAAGTTTTGTAGTTTTAGCTCTTATTTTTGATCTTTGGCCCATTTTGTGCAGTTTTTTTAATGTAGAAAACTTCATGAATTTGTATGTCATCCTTGTATAGGGGAATGATGCTAATCATTTCTGTATGGATCCATTGTTATTAAATGTATCTATAAAGCAAGCACTGAAAGAAAATCCTTAAAAGAAATGAATTATCATAAAAATAGGAAGTAAATTTGGTTTAGAACATTCTGTCTTCTATCTCAAGAATAAATAAAGGGTTTATGTGTGGGAAAAGTTAAGCCAGAGAGACTCTGGTCCCAGAGACACTATGCATAGAAAGTAGAAGCAGAGCTGTACATGGGATAGGAACACAGTGACCATCAGCGCGTCAGGAGTCCCCACGCCCTCTGTCCCCGTCTCACTAGCTTTGCCGCACCTGGGCACCAACTTCCATCCTCACCCTGCTTCTGGCAAGAGAAAGGAAATCTGTTTCTGCATAAGCTGACCTGAAACCAGGAAAAGATGGGCAGTTATGGAATTTGGGGTGATGATCATCTCTCCAGGCAACCCCTCCACAGTTAGCTCAGCAGGCAAGAATGCCTGGCACCCACCCCTCTTTGCAATGAATTCATTTTGTGCTATACTGCCTCACTCTTAAGTGGAGAAAGACAGTAAAGAAAAACAACATTATCAAGGGAACTTCCAACTCAGGGGACTGAGGCTAAAATAAAACAGGAAAAGAGAGCTAGGAAGAAAGGCCCAAGGGGGGAAAAAGAGTTCTTAAAACTATAACATTGTCAAAGGAATAAAAAAGAGTACTGCGTTTCTGGTTTAAAAATATTCTCTAAAAGGGACAAATGGAGAACAATGACTTTTTTTAAAATTAAAGACAGAATACTGGAAACTTTCAAAATAAATAAAGTTTGCACAATAAAACTGAAAATCCTCCAGAAAATAGAACAAAAACACAAAAAGAGAGAAAAGATAAGACAATTTAAGAATTAGTTTAGCACAAAACAGAAAGCAACGGAGGGGAAGAAATTATCAAAAAGTGGTACAGGAAAATAACTCAGAACCAAAGAATGTGAACACTCTAGCACATGCTGAAAGCAATGAGGCAGCACACTGACCCCAAAGCACACCATTACAGAATGTATTATCAGCAGTGATCCAGAAAATGGCTCAAAAGCTCCCAGAAAGGAAGGTAGGAGGATAGCAACAGTGCTCTATTTACCCAAAGCACTATTAGGTGATAGGAGACGCTGGAGCAAAGAGTCAAGATTTCAGGTGAGCAGTGATTTTCTACCTGGAATCTTCCACATGTTGAAAATTTCTTAGAGAAAGAACATCTCAGAAAGAATTTATACAGCCTCAAAGGGTTGACCTTTCAGGTACTCTTTGGTGGAAAGCTACTAGGTGCTAACATGAAGGAGTAAACCAAAAAGAAGGAAAATATGGAAGCCAGGTGTAGCAAGAGGACTTTTCAGGATGAAAGCAGTAGGGGTCCTGGGTCAACAGGTCTATAGTGGGGTGGACCACATGCAGCGAGCAAAGTTGAGGGTGTAGGAGAAGGGGAAAATTGATGAAAGACTTCAGGATGTGTTTGGGATGTGGCTGGAAACTGTACTGTGAACTCTAAGACCTGTGGAAGCATGTGGTGAAATAATTAGAAATAGCTAAATCAATGAAGCACACAAAAATACAACAGAAGAGAAAAAAATGGAATCCAAGTACCATATTTGGCTCAGGCACAAGGAAGATTTATGTGGACCAAATAATCAAATACTGTAACCTTAACCAACAATTGTGATCACACTACCCTGAGTCTATGGGGGTATGCAAGGTGGGAGTACATGGTGAGGGTGTGCAGGAGAAATTCAGTCAATGCTCTTTAAAAAACAAAGTAGTCATCAAGAAATAGAGATACAATATATCACTTAGAAAAAAATAAACGTAACAGTAGAAGGAAGAGGCCTGGGAGTGGTAGTTTCTGGATAAAAGACAGAGGAACAAGGAGAAGAAAGGGAAGATGCTTTTGCATTTTGTTCTAAGCATTTAAATATGATTTATTTTTAAAAAATGGTTTTATCTTAATTTTTGTGATTTTTAGATTTTTAGATTTTTGAATTTCAGCATGCTGCATTATTGGGGTCAAGGCTAGTTTAGAAAAGTCCTAGTTGTCAGTATGGGAGTCCGATGGAGGAGGATTGAAAGTTGAACCCCAACCCAGGCAACTTAGTAAGACTCTGTCTCAAGAAAAAATATTAAAAAATAATGGGGCATAGCTGAATGCAAAGGTCCTGGGTTCAATTCCTAGTAACACACATGAGGAGAGGAGGGGGCGAGAAACGAGAGAGGAAGAAGAAGGAAAAGGAGAAAGAAAAAGGAAGAAGGAGAAGAGAAGCAGCAGCAGCAGCAGCAAAGCAAAACAAAAATGTTCTAGTTAGGAAAAGTCTCCCTTTTGGAGCAGGAGCAGCCCAAGGGCAAAGTGCACACAGAGACCACACAGCAGCCTGGTTCTAATGTGTGACGACTGTGGTGACATCCAATAGACAGTAGACAGAGGAAGAAGGAAAGGAGAGGGAGAGGAGGAAGAAAAGACTATGAGAGATAGATCTGAAATTCTCCAAAGATCAAGTCTTATGTGTTTAAAAAAAAAAAAAAAGTCCCGTGGGATATTTTCCAACTTCTGGTTTGAACATGAATGCCTTTAATAATATATAAAGGCTAAAATTAACACCAGTCAATCTAATGTTCTAAGAAACACCCTTGCATAATAGAAGCTTTCACTGACCTGGATAAACACTTAATCTGGAAGGAAAAAGGCATGGGTAGGCATTTTACATGTTCTGAGTTCAGCGTGAGCTAGTGATGGGATGTGATGTGACTCAAGAAGTGCTAATGCAATGTTAGCACGAATAAGCACAGTGTCAAGAAATGGAAAGAGGCCCCGGTCCACCATACCCAGACCACATATGTAGTACTACTCTCAGTTTCAACCCCTAAAAGGCTAAGGAGGTCATTGTGTCCAATGAAGAAGTCCACAACATTCATAGACTTGGAGGTCATGTTAAATAAGAACTTTTTAACAAAGAGAAATCCCAGGAGACTGCTCATGAACAGTTACCTACAAATAGTCTAGAAATTAAGAACATCATACAGAACAGTATTGTGTCAGGCCTTTGTCAAATGGAGAGGATTAAAGAGTTAAATGGACAGCGATTGAAGCGAAAGAAAGATTGCCCTCTTCAAAAGTAAATGCACCATGTGGTTGTGTTGGAGTGAAAACCGGGCCCCTGTGCATGAAAGGGGGAGCAAAGCATGTGGACTTCCTGACTGTGGCCAGACCAACTTCCTGTGAGTTTATGATTTGATGGGTTTATTGCTTCTCTTGAACTTGGAGATGTGAAAATATAAATAAAAAAACATTTGATCTGGGTGTTTGATAAGTAATGATTTCATTTCCAATCCAATTCACTACTTCTTCACTGGAGAACACTAGATGGCTTCTTTTTTGCTTCAAGGAAAATGACATTTTGGGGTCAGGAGAGGGACCCAGGAGCACATTCTCAGAAGGATGAAGGACTGGTTTCCTCCCCTGTTCAGTCTCAGGAGAGACTGCCACGTTCCTTATTTCCTGTCCCTTTGGTAAGTGCCACTTACAGGCTGGAACATACTAACTGGGTCCAGATTCCATTGAGGCCCACGGTGAATGAAAAAGCAATGCAATCCAGGCACTCTTCCTGGGAAACAGCTCCTCCATAGGAAAAGAAAACAAAACAAGGAGGCTATTCATGTCCTCCACCATGTTTGTTCTCATACCAGAAAGATCTTCCTGTTTCTGTACTCAGCAGGTGCTCACTCGCCACGTGCAGGTGCAGCGTCTGTGCAAACACTACTTGTCTCACAGACATTTGCTCCCATTTTAATTAGTTCATTGATTGGGAAGTTTTCAAAGACGTAAAGCAAATATGCTCTAATAAGAAAGATATTGATATAGAAACCAAGGGAAACTAAGACTCTAATAAAACACCAAAAGCTGCTAAAAATTTCTGTGGAGAACAGCTCATTACATCTTGCCACACCTAGCTACAAATCACTGGTGCTGGAATTGTACGTTTCATGGCACTATACTATTTCCTAAACCTGGGGATTCCAAGGAGATTTCTTAAGGCAGCACTTAACCATAAATTTGTGTATTTAATTGAAGATGTATTTTCCCCAAATTTTAAGTGCTACAGAATTATTTATGTAATTTTTTTTGAAATTCTACCTGGTCAACCTCCTCTGTTGCTGTTGTTGTTGCTGTTGTTGTTGTTGTTGTTGTTGTTGTTATTTGGTGCTGGGAATTGAACTCAGGACCACCTGATTTTGAGAAAGGCAGTAGCACCACTGAGCTAAATCCCTGGCTCTTCTTCATATTAGATGAATTTTACACAAAACTATTTCCAAAGCATGACCAGTTCTATGATATAAAGCAGATGTGATAGATTTCCTCTGCTGTGCTTATTACTCCTTGTGGAGAGTAGAAGGTGGTCTCTTTGCTCTAATCCTACTCTCTATGCATGTAATCATGATATATGTTTTAGGAGTTACTTCTAAAAGGTTACTAGGAAGGTTACTCATGCTAAAACAATACCAGATAAAATAAGACATCTGTGAGGTCTGGTGTATACACATATATGTTCATATAATGTGCAGGCTTTACTTAGGTGGAGAATGCTACATCAGACTTAGCATTGTATTTCACCTTTTCAAGTAAAATAATATAAAGGGCTATGGTTTTATAAATCCCTTAAAAATTTTTGTTCCAAACAATATATATTTTGCACCCAGAGACGTGATTTAAATAAACATGGTTAAAACTTCACTCCTTTCAAAATAATCAAATTGAGCCAGGGATGTAGCTCAGTGGAGCCATGGCTGCCTGAGTTTGAGTCCAGATACAGGGGTGAGGGTGGGGGTGGCTTGAACCATTGTCTCTGAGCGCACTGCACTTCAGAGAGCAGGTCTCCCTCTGGGCTCTGGCCACTTACAACCCAGTGGGGGTGTGAGGCAAGTACACAGCTAATTCCTTTGAAGTTAAGAGTGGCAATCGCCACACTGCCTCACCAACAAGAGAGGACTGGAGGAGACAGACAAAAGCTGTGGAACTTGGGCCTACACCAAAATTCAAGTTCTG